GAGCCTGTGCATTCCAGCACCCTTGTTTACACTGGCAACATGGATTCACTCATCGTGTCAGTCGTGAATGATTCCCTCACTGATGATCCAGCAGATAAAATCAATACCCTGCTTTCAGATAGCTTCTGTTCTATAAGGGACGGTCAAAAATAATTAAATACATTAAATAATTCAATAATACATGAAATTTAATGGAATGATGTGTGTAGAAAGTCAAAGGAGTCTACAGAAACTGAGAGAAAAACTGCAATTTGCAAGATGTCATGATATAAGAACGCCCAAAAATCTACTATAATTGTATATACTAGCAATTTACAAATGGAAACTGAAATTAAAAATATAATATCATGTTTGAATGTTCAAAAAAGAAACAATAAAAATGAGTAAATCTAACAAAACACTGACTTTCATGAAACAGTAATGAAAGAAGTCAATGATGAACTTTTACTTACATTTACTTATGACATTCCATATTGAATATGACATATCATATTCATTGATTGGAAAACAACATCTAAATATTGTTAAATTACCCCAAATTGTCATACAGGTATAATGCATTTCCAATCTAGATTTTTATAGAACAACCAATATTATTCTAAAATTAATATAGAAAGGCAAAAGAACGAGAAGAGCTACAGCATCACAAAAATACTGAAGTGGCTGGAATCATTCCACATGATCTCAAGATTTCTAATATAGTAACAGTAATCAAGATTGTGTGGGATTTGTTGAGGGACAGACACACAGACCAAAGGAACAGAATGAGGAAAACAGAACCCCACACAGCTACAAGTAACCTTTAACAACATGGGTGTGAGCTGTGCGGATTTATTTTTTTACACAGATGCCACAACAAATTTAATAATAATGAAAACATTTGAAACTTTCGGAGAATTGCCAAAATGTGACACAGAGACACAAAGTGGCTGTCAGAAAAACGGCCCAAAGACTTTCTCCATGCAAAGTTGCCAGAAAACTGTAATTTGTAAAAAAAAAAAATGCAGTATCTTGAAGCACAATAAAGCGAATTGCAATGAAAGAGGTATAACTGGATTGACATCATAGGAAGTTACCATAACCACAATTATATATGACGATAGTCGATTTAAAAATGGCAAGTTATACTCGTAAAATTGACGATAGATGTTGTGTGGTTGAAGGATTTAAATAACTTGGCTTATTAGAGTAGCAAAATGGTTAAGATACCTCTCTTTGAAGCCAGTCAACATGGATTCAATTCCTGATTTACCCACTTGCTGGGATGGGACTAAATAAGTCTTTAAACCTGTCATTGTGCCAAGCTGCTTCATTCATGAAATAATAAATAGTACTTTTCTTCAGAGATGAAAATCCAATATCTTATTATGCATAAAGCAATAATAACAGTGACTCTCACTAATCAAAATCAAGAACTTATCAAAGAAAAATGTATCATTTGGGGATGGGAAGAAACCCTAAGTGGAGGATATCAGGTGTCAGTTGTCATGCTAAACAGAACAAATCTTTTCTCTGTAAGATCCTCTGGCAATGAATGTGAATACATCACTGGGAAAGGACAGAATGACTTCCAGGAATTTGGCAATGGGGATTATCTCCTTGTCACAGACCATACTTGGATTCTTTCGGTCTTTCTTTCTTATGTATCATGATATTTTCATTCTCTTCACTGCATGCTTCTTTACCTCCACACACTTGCTTTTCAAGCACCTAACCATAGCCAACTCCCAGAAAAAAAGATTTCATGGCACCGTTTTGCCATTTCAGTTCTTTCATTGAACTAAAGCCCCGAAATAACTCTTCCATCATGTTTACAGTACACCTACTTTGTGTCATTGCTTATATGCATTATCACATCACAAAAGTCCCAAAACAACCCACTGATTTATACACCCCTTGTTGCAAAACAAGGGAAATATGCAAGGGAGGAAATAATAATGCAAAAACAAAAAGTGTATAAAAAACATTTTACTTACTAGAAAATTAATCATGGAACATACTGCTTAATACTGTAATTTGAAATACAAATTTTAATAGTCTTTGGATAATTGATTCTCTAGTAAGTTGTTTAGTTATATCATCAACTAAGCATTTCTAGACATTAATTTTTAGTAAACTAGTATAAAGATATCTTAGACAACTTATCTAAATAAAACCTTTACAGCATTTCCAAAAACCAAATTGATTTTTTTTTTTTTTTTGGTGCTGCTGCTTAGCTTGTTGGATCTCAGTTCCCTGACCAGGGATTGAACCTGGGCCACAGTAGTAAAAGCCCCGAATCCTAACCCCTAGATCACCAGGAAACTCCCTACATTCTTTTTTATATTCTTCTCCATTACAGTTTAACCCAGAACATTGAACATAGTTCCCTGTGATCTACAGTAGGACCTTGTTGTCCATCCATTCTATATATAATAGTTTGCATCTACTAGCCCCAAACTCCCGGTCCATCCCTCCCCTACCTCTCCTCCCCCTTGGCAACCACAAGTCTATTCTCTATGCCTGTAAGTCTGTTTCTGCTTCATAGATAGGTTCGTTTCGGTCGCATTTTATTATTTTATTTTTTATATTTTTTGCTCCACTGCTTGGCTTGCGGGATCTTAGTTCCCGGACCAGGGATCAAACCTGGGCCGCCGCAGTGAAAGCGCCAAGTCCAAACCAATGGACTGAGGAGGAATTCCCTGTGTCATATTTCAGATTCCACAGATAAGTGATATCATATGGTATCTATCTTTCTCTTCCTGACTTTCTTCACTCAGTGTGATAATGTCTAGCTCCACCCATGTTCCCCAAAATGGCATTATTTCATTCTTTTATGGCCGAGTAGCACTCCATTGTATACGTGTACCACATATATCCATTCATCTGTCCACATCCATTTTTTAGCAGCCGGCCAAAAAATAAAACAAAATAATCCAACTTGAACAATGGAATGTACATGTGGTGCAGGAAAAGAAATGAAATAAATTAGTAGCATAAAGAAAAGTGTGGTCTTTCCTAACCAAGAAAACAGGATTTTCAAGAGTAAACATCCAGTGTTTTATTTTTTATTTATTTATTTTTACATCTTTATTGGAGTATAATTGCTTTACAATGTTGTGTTAGTTTCTGCTTTATAACAAAGTGAATCAGTTATACATATACATATGTTCCCATATCTCTTCCCTCTTGTGTCTCCCTCCCTCCCACCCTCCCTATCCCACCCCTCCAGTGTTTTATTAAAGAGTCTCACATCATTTTTTGATGTTTGCCTACTTACAACTATATATTAAGATTCACCATAACCTCTCCTTATTTGGCCTATGTGGTGAAGAAGATCAAGTCTGAGGGCTTCCTTCTTTGATACCAACTGGAAGTTCAAAACATAACTGGTTAGCCTTCCCTAAGCCCGATCCAGTAATCACCTTAATACATCAAGTCATTAATCATTCCCTGTTATGTCAAACCATTTTTTGAACACCTTGGTATTCTTCCCTGTCCCCCTAGAAAGCGGAATTACATAACAAACATTCTCATAACACTTCAACATTAATATCAATCTAAATGACCAAACTAGCCTTTGCGTGGAGTTCCACCCTATCCCAGTGAATAGCCACAAGTGCAAACCAGCAACAACAAAAAACGGTTTTGGTGGTGCTATGTGAAATTTCTAGTTTATCTATCAAGCAAAAATCTTCCCATTGTATATTGTTTAGTGTTAATACTCAGGAACATTGTTATTTTCAAATTATTTTACTGAGCGGTTCAAGGACAAAAGTGAAACTGGATGATTTTAAATTTTTCTAATATTTTTTATGTGCTTCTATGTTCCTATTTTTCCTTCATGTAAATCAAGGTGCACGATGTTAGATTTACTGGGCACAAAAAAGATCATGAAGAAATACATTCATACACCGCATATTCATGAATAGGGATGAGGTTGCACACACATTCACAAGGTGGACTCACTTGCCCCCAAGACAGAAAACCAAGAAGTAATTGCAGTTTCACCCCTCGCAGGAATGTCACCTTAAACCAATCACTCTGGAGTTTCCTGAACATTAGTGAGGTAATCTGCAGGATAAGACTAAGACTTTGGTGCTACTTTCCCCCAGAAAAGGTAATCTTGCCTGAAAGAACCTTTTCTTTTACTAATAACATTCTTATCCCACCAAGTTACTGCCTATAAAAGCCTTCCAATTTGTACAGCACCGTTTAGGACCTCTTTAATTTCTAGGTGGGATACTGCCCAATTCATGAATCATTCAATACAACCAATCAGATCTTTAAATTTACCCTGTTCAATTTTTGCATGTCAATAAAATTCAGAGTCTGAAATAAACTGCTATGCTACTTGCATTATAGCCATCTGAATATTCTGGAATAGAGTGGAGGGAATAATCAAGTACAAATTATGAGTATATAATCCCCAAATTATATGTTGTTTGATTCCATATTCGAAAGAAATTGCTATAGATTCTTTCCACCCTGACAGCCTAATGGTGCATTCTTAGCGTTTATTGTAAAGCACCAAGACAGGATAAAACTGTGTTGGTAAAAGAAACAGGATTCAACCAGGGTGATGAGGAGAGTGATTAAATTTTATTGCATCTGTGTGGTTTCTCTCCAGGATAAATATTCTGATATCTAGCGACAAGTAAGTAATAATTTGAAACATTGCCATATTTATTGCATTTTATTTACTTTACTTTTTTTTTTTTTTTGCTGCATTGGGTCTTCATTGCTGTGCGCGGGCTTTCTCTAGCTGCTCTAGATGCAGCGAGCGGGGGCTATACTTCACTGTGGTGTGCGGGCTTCTCATTGTGGTGACTTCTCTTGTTGCAGAGCACGGGGCTCTAGGCACACGGGCTTCAGTAGTTGTGGTTCACAGGCTCAGTAGTTGTCGCTCGCGGGCTCTAGAGCACAGGCTCAGTAGTTGTGGCACACTGGCTTAGTTGCTCCGTGGCATGTGTAATCTTCCCGGACCAGGGCTCAAACCTGTGTCCCCTGCATTGGCAGGTGTATTCTTAACCACTGCCCTACCAGGGAAGTCCCTATTGCATTTTAAAGTATGAAGTATTTGGTGAACCCTCAGTTTAAGGCACAAGCAAAAAGCTTTGCCATATTCAGTACATCTGTAATGTCCTGTCGCGTATAGATTATCTGATGATTGATGAAATGTGAGCCCCAAGTAAAGGTTTTTCCCATTCATTGCATTTGTGAGGTAATAATCTCCAGAATGAATTATTTGGTGAATGAATTTGTTGCCTAAAGTCCTGGTCAAAGTAAATACATTTACCTGATATTTCTCCAGTATGACTTTTCCAATGAAGCTAAGATGTGTACACTTGCTAAAACCCTGGCTTAAAGTCCCTCACCAATATGGATTACCTGATACTAAGTTAGACTTCAAAGTACAATAAATGATTTGCCATACTCATTATATTTGTAAGGTTTCTCTCCAGTATGAAGTTTTTGGTGCACCTTAAGGTACAAATTTTGACTAAAAACTATGAGACATTTATGACATTTCTACGATTACCGTCCAGTATGGCTTATCTGATGGTAAGAGAGGTTTTGCCACAGTCATGAACGTGCATGTTTCCTCCCACTATGAATCTCCCATGAATTTAAACTGTCAGTTTTGAATGAGGATCTTCCCATATATATCACATTAATATGGTTTCCCCTCTGTATTTATTATCTGATGTGTAATGAGGGTTCAGGTGTGAGTAAGGTCTTTTCAACACTCATTATTTTTGAAAGGTTTCCCTCCATTATGAATTCTCTGATGCTTTGCAAGGGTGCCTTTTTGACGAAAGACCTTGCTGCACTCATTACAGTTGTAAGGTTTCTCTCCAGTATGAATTCTCTTATGAACTGCAAGGTTTGACTTCCGACTAAAGATCTTGCCACACTCATTACATTTGTGGAGTTTCTCTCCAGAATGAATTCTCTGATGAACTGCAAGGTCTGAATTTCTACTAAAGGCCTTGCAACATATATGACATTTATGTAACTTCTCTGCTGTATGGATTATCTGATGACGCCTGAGTTTTGAGCCCTGACTAAACGTTTTCCCACACTCATTGCATTTGTAAGGTTTCTCTCCAGTATGAATTCTCTGATGAGTTGCAAGGATTTGTTTTTGATTAAAGACCTTGCCACACTCGCTACATTTGTAAGGTTTCTCTCCAGTGTGAATTCTCTCATGAACTACAAGGTTTGATTTCTGACTAAACACCTTTACACATTCATTACATTTGTAAGGTTTCTCTCCAGTATGAATTCTCTGATGAACTATAAGGTTTGAATTTAGACTAAAGACTTTTTCACACATATCACATTTATGTAATTTCTCTCTGGTATGGATGATCTGATGTCTACTGAGGTGTGATCCCTGAAAAAAGGTTTTGCCACACAGATTACATTTGTAAGGTCTTTCCCTGGGTGCTTTCTGGTATTTTGTCAGTAATGATGGATGCATAAAATCACTCTCATGTATATTAGAAATGTTGGTTTGGACACCAGAAGAAATTCCTTGAAGTGGTGAACATAAGGCATTACTGCTAATAGTCTTGTCAGCTTGATTAAACTCATTAATTTTCTCTTCACTTTTAAAAATATGCAGGTCATCCAGAAAGCTTAAGGCAAGGCTGTTTTCAATAAGCTCAACTCCTGCAGTACTTCTACCATGTCCATCTCTCTTACCAGTGAGATTTTGGTTATGGGTTATAGTCATGCCTTTGTAATTTCTTACCTCAGCTCTCCGCTGAGACTCAAGGTCATAAATATTTTCCTGGACAACCTTGAGGTAAAAATGTTTGATTTCATTCCTTTCATGTCTTCGCAGCATTATGGTTTGGAATACTTCTTCTCTATCAGTGTTTGCTTTTAGATGTAATTTCTTTATCACATGTATACGAGAAATATCTACAAGATACAAAGAATCATATGTATCCAACACATTGTAATTCATAAATAAATATTTCAAGTTACATACATGATACTACTCTAAAAATAGTACTTATTTCAAAGAGAGTTAAGAAACTACCTACAATGATCTTAAAACTGTAGTAAAGCAAAAAAAACAGGATTCTTGTGGCTTCCCTGGTGGCTCAGTGGTAAGAATCCGCTTGCCAATGCAGGGGACACGGGTTCGAGCCCTGGTCCAGGAAGATCCCACATGCCACGGAGCAACTAAGCCCGTGTGCCACAACTACTGAGCCTGCACCCTAGAGCCTGAGAGCCACAACTACTGAGCCCATGTGCTGCAACTAGTGAGCCCGCATGCCTACAGCCCATGCTCCGCAACAAGAGAAGCCACCACAATGAGGAGCCTGCACACCACAATGAAGAGTGGCCCCCGCTCACTGCAACTAGAGAAAGCCCATGCACAGCAACGAAGACCCAACGCAGCCAAAAATAAAAATAAATAAATTTTTTTTAAAAAGAATAGGATTCTTTACTAAAGAAAAAGTGATCAGAGGTAATTCTAATTATTTTAGAGCACCCTATTTTCAAACAACCTATGACAAAAACTCTCACATTAAACAAACTGGTATTAGCTATCAAATAAAGTGTATTTTTCCACCATGACCCCAAAGCACATGACAGTTTTGAATTGGAAAACTAATCTAGCACAAAGAAAGTGAAGAATTTGACAAAACAATTTAATCAACCAAATATTTTTCTAAATACCTCTTATAAAACTATGTACCTATGAAGAAGCATAAAACATTCTAAAAGTACAGAACAGTGGAAAACATAGGCAGAACACTTTAACATTAACCGGAGCAGTATCTTTTTGGATCCACCTACTAGAGTAATGGAAAGTAAAACAAAAATAAAGAAATTGGATCTAATTAAACTCAAAAGCCTCTGCACAGAAATGGAAGCCATAAACAAAATGAAAAGACAACCCACAGAATGGGAGAAAATATTTGCAAATGATGCAACTGAAAAAGGGTTAATCTCCTAAATAAACAAACAGCTCATACAATTTAATATCAAAACAACAAGGACTTCCCTGGTGGTGAGTGGCTAGGAATCCACCCGCCAACGCAGGGGACACAGGTTCAAGCCCTGGTCCGGGAAGATCCCACATGCCGAGGAGCAACTAAGCCTGTGCACAACTACTGAGCCTGCACTCTAGAGCCCGCGAGCCACAACTACTGAGCCCACGTGCCACAACTACTGAAGCCCATGTGCCTAGGGCCCAGGCTCCGCAATGAGAGAAGCCACTGCAGTGAAAATCCCGTGCACCACAACAAAGAGTAGCCCCCGCTCTCCGCAACTAGAGAAAGCCCATGGGCAGCAACAAAGACCCAATGCAGGCAAAATAAATAAATAAAATAAATTTATTTTTTAAAAAAACCCACCCAAAAACACTAATTGAAAAAGATACATACACTGCAGTGTTAATAGCAGCACTATTTACAATAGGCAAGACATGGAAGCAACCTAACTGTCCATCAACAGGTGAATGTATAAAGAAGATGTCATATATATATGCCATGGAATATTACTAAGCCATAAAAAAGAATGAAATAATGCTGTTTGAAGCAACATGGATGGACCTAGAGATTATCATACTAAGTGAAGTAAGCCAGACAGAGAAAGCCAAATATCATGTGATATGGCTTATATGTGGAATCTTTAAAAAAAAGGGTACAAATGAACTTATTTACAAAATAAAAAGAGACTCACAGACATAGAAAACAAACTTATGATTACCAAAGGGGAAGATATGTATTTCTTTTTTAAAATGAATTTATTTATTTATTTATTTATTTATTTATTTTTGTGCCACCAGGTAAGTCCAGGACTATGTATTTCAAAAGCAAGTTTCAGGGCTTCCCTGGTGGCACAGTGGTTGGGAGTCCGCCTGCCGATGCAGGGGACGCAGGTTCGTGCCCCGGTCCGGGAGGATCCTGCATGCCGTGGGGCAGCTGGGCCCGTGGGCCATGGCCACTGGGCCTGCGCGTCCGGAGCCTGTGCTCCGCGACGGGAGAGGCCACAGCAGTGGGAGGCCTGCATATCACCAAAAAAAAAATAAAAATAAAAATATAAAAATATTTTTAAAAAGCAAGTTTCAAAGGCAAAATCATGCAAACTTAGGAGAATACAAAATCAGGAAGGTAGACTAGGTAGAGCAGTACACGAGTGAAAAAAATACAAGATATGTTTGTCAGATATTATAGGACCTTCAGATGGAACCATGCACTCTACCCACAGATGCCAAACAAAAAGCCTGAAAGATGCACACATTCCCCCCATGAGGGACTGGGGATTAAAAAGAGGATCTCGGGACTTCCCTGGTGGCACAGTGGTTAAAACTCTGCGTTCCCAATGCAAGGAACAAGAGCCCACATGCACGCCACAACTAAAAATTCGCATGCCACAACTAAGGAACCCTCCTGCTGCAACTAAGACCTGGCACAACCAAATTAATATAAAAAATAAAAACAAAATAAAAAAATTAAAAGAGGATCTCTCTGTACACTGTCCTTACAGTTTTCCTAAGTAACAATAACAGAAGATCCAACCAACAGGGCTAGGACACACATCCCTGAACTGTGTGGCAAGAGGAGAACAAAAGAAGTAGACAGGACTTGAGACAGCTCCATGCAGGTTGTGAGGTACCAGATGGAATCAAAGAGCAGCCAGTGTTTTCCCATCTTCTGTCTGGGTCTTCTAAAAACATCCAATGGGGATGGAACCAAGAAAGGTTCAGGGATTAGTCTGGAGGCATCAGCTCTTATCCATGTGGACTGAGAACTAAGCATCCAGTGGAATCATGCCCTGAAGGAGAGATGAGGGGGTAGGAGACCCCTTTAAAAAAATCCCACCTCATGCTACTCAAGGTCAAGCAACAACTAGTTCACAGGTACAAGATGGCAGAGTGTGGTAGATCACGATAAAGACTTTGCCTTTGTCTCTGGTAGAGTTGCAGTACCACTGGAGGGTAAAAGAACACATTTTACATGCTGAAGGACAACGTGGTAAGTTGGGGAGAAGAAAAATTTCCTCTGAGGGTTCACAATAATAAATTATCTTCTGTATTCCCACAGAACTCTCTGATGAGGGGAGAGTTAACCAAACACTATTAATAACGAGGTTTCCTCTCGGCCTTTCTGAGATCTGACCTATGTTCACACTTTGATACATGCTCAAAGGCATTCACATCACTCTCAACAGCCCAGCACTCTTTCTCTTGCTACAAAGTGAGTAAAATATTCAGCTGAGAAACAGAAATCCCTCCACACAAGAAGAAAGAAAGGTGATTTCCTGTGACTTTTCCAGAACTCTAATTCTTTGTTCAACTGAAGATTACAAATGAATCTAGAAAAATATTTCAAAAATTCACCCACTTTTCCCCTCCTTCTGAATGCACACGGAACAGTATAAAATGCAGAAATGTAGCTCACTTCCTAGAACTCCTAACTCAAAAGCACAGGAGTAGAAAAATAGGAACGTGGGTATATTAAAAGTTTACCATTCAGCTTTATGAATACATAAGCTCTGAAACAACCCCTGATAAATCATGAAGTGGGGAGATCATCTAAGGAAAGGTAGGATTAAACTCCTGATGCCACATCATGAAGCTTTTCAATGTCTGAGATAATAGGGATTTTGGATCAGTCAAGCAAACAGGGCCTCCCAAGAGAAAATGGAAGGATACCCAAGGGCAGAGCCCAACTTCTAGAGGGAAGTTATCCTCACCTAGGGAGACCAGGTTCCTGTAGGTCTCCAGCATCACGTCCCTGTACAAGACCCTCTGAGCAGGGTCCAGGCATTCCCATTCCTCCTGAGAGAATTCTATGGCCACATCCTTGAAGGTCAACTGTGTCTGAAATGAAAACACATTTAACCAAAGAGCCCTGAGGAGATTCTTATTTTCGCACAAAATGAGAAGAGGACAGAGGAGTAAGGATCAATTCAGTTGAAGTAAATATTCTGACAGATCCATGTAAAGCTATGTGAAGGAAATTGTCATTCTCTAATTTAATTTCTTAGGCTTTTTCTTAACATTATGATATCCCCCATCAATCAATGGATTTTTTCCTTTTGTAGTCAATACATAAAATACATACAAATAAAATTCAACAATGGATTGTCTATGCAGAAGTGTTATATATTATATTTTACACACTGAGTGATATTTAATATCTAGGTAAGCTACGCTATGAGTGGTATCTTCAAGGATGACAGAGTCAACAGTGGCTTTTTTTTTTTGGCTGCATTGGGTCTTCGTTGCATCACTCGGGATCTTCATTGCAGCATGCGGGAGCTTTCGTTGCAGTGTGCAGGATCTTTTGTTGCAGCATGCAGGCAATCTGCTGTGGTGCGCAGGCTCCAGAGCACTTGGATTTCAGTAGTTGTGACTCACGGGCTCAGTAGTTGCGGCGCATGGCCTTAGTTGCCCTGCGGCATGTGGGATCTCAGTTCCCCAACCAGGGATTGAACCCGAGTGCCCTGCATTGAAAGGCACATTCTTTTTCATAAATTTATTTACGTACTTATGCATTTATTTATTTATTTAATTTTTGGCTGCATTGGGTCTTCACTGCTGCGCGTGGGCTTTCTCTAGTTGTGGCAAGCAGGGGCTACTCTTCGTTGCGGTGCACAGGCTTCTCATTGCGGTGGCTTCTCTTATTGTGGAGCACAGGCTCTAGGAGCACGGGCTTCAGTAGTTGTGGCATGCAGGCTCAGTAGTTGTGGCTTGTGGGCTCTAGAGTGCAGGCTCAGTAGTTGTGGCACACGGGCCTAGTTGCTCCGCAGCATGTGGGACCCTCCTGGACCAGGGCTCAAACCCATGTCTCTTTCATTGGCAGGCAGATTCTCCATCACTGAGCCACCAGGGAAGCCCAGAAGGCCCATTAACCACTGGACCGCCAGGGAAGTCCCCAACAGTGGCTTTAAAGAAAAGTCAAAATCTTAAATTATGATAAGGATAGCAACAGCAATGACTAAAGGTGTCTGCATATTTAACATATACTAAGCATTACTGCAAATGTTTTACAGGTGTTAAGCTTTTAATCATCATCAGAGCTCATTAGAGAAAGATCTGTTCCCACGTTACAGAGGAGAAAACTGTCAGAAACACACTGAGAAACTCAATTCAGGTCAAGAAACTAAGAAACAATACACAAGCACATAAACTAAGGAAGTTTGGCTCTTGATTTGATGATCAAGAAGAAAAACTTAGGGCTTCCCTGGTGGTGCAGTGGTTGAGAGTCCGCCTGCCGATGCAGGGGATGCAGGTTTGTGCCCTGGTCCGGGAAGATCCCACATGCCGCGGAGCAGCTGGGCCCGTGAGCCATGGCCGCTGAGCCTGCGCGTCCGGAGCCTGTGCTCTGCAACGGGAGAGGCCACAACAGTGAGGCCCGCGTACCGCAAAAAAAAAAAGAAAAAGAAAAACTTAAGTAACAGAAAGAGAATTAAAGGTACACGGATAGAGGGTCACCTGAGAAAACTTAACTTCAAGGAGAACACCATGGAAGGGCATAAAACGTCATTATAGATGTGGACACACACACAAATGCACATAAAATGTTAGTAATCTTACTACCATTTGAACCATTAACATGATAGTGTAAAAAAATACAAGGCCAAAGAATATATTTAAGATACGATTGGGGGAGTTCCCTGGTGGCACAGTGGTTAAGAATCCACCTACCAATGCAGGGGACATGGGTTCGAGCCCTGGTCTGGGAAAATCTCACACGCCTCGGATCAACTAAGCCCATGAGCCACAAGTACTGCGCCTGCACTCTAGAGCCTGCGTGCTGCAACTACTCAGCCCATGTGCCACAACTACTGAAGCCCACGCACCTAGGGCCCGTGCTCCACAACAAGAAAAGCCACTGCAATGAGATGCCTGCACACCACAACGAAGAGTAGCCCCTGCTCGCCGCAACAAGAGAAAACCCGTGTGCAGCAACGAAGACCCAACGCAGCTGAAAATAAATAAATTAAATAAATAATTTTTTAAAAAAAAGATACAATTGGAACTACAATTAGGTATAACACAGACTGATTGAACTACAATTAGGTATAACACAGACTTATGAAATCATGTTGTCTTTTATCAAAACCACAGACTTGGGACTTCCCTGGTGGCGCACTGGTTAAGACTCCACACTCTCAATGCAAGGGGCCCGGGTTCAATCCCTAGTCAGGGAACTAGATCCCTCATGCATGTGGCAACTAAGAGTTCGCATGCCGAAACTAAGAAGCCCATGTGCCGCAACTAAAGAGCCTGTGAGCTGCAACTAAGGAGCCCACCTGCCGGAACTAAGACCCGGCACAACCAAGTAAATAAATAAATAAATATTAAAAACAAAACAAAACATAGACTTGCAAATCCATGAACTCATGGACACATATGTAAACACACAATCAACTGGAATGAGAGGAGTTCTCGTGAACATTTTTCCATCATCAATGATACTCATGTGAATTTTAGCACCTTTGGGACCATGAAAAAGTATCAATGTCACTAAATGGTACTAACATGAACAGTGTAGAACACTTAAATTCCAATCTCTATAAAATACCTAGAGTCAAAAATATAAATAAAATTTTATCCACTAAAATGTACACAAGTAGGTATTAACAAATGCAAAACAGTCTGTGTACTCCACCCATAAAACACTGATTCAAAATTAGAAAAGTTATTACTGTTATATACTAATTAAATAGATTAAGAAAAAAATTATCACAATATTAAAGTTTACAATTACGTGTAGAATTAAAAATCTTCACAAAAAACAATATTGAAAAAACATATCATTATTAAGCAAGAAGATTTCAACAAACATCATGATCAGAAGGAAACACCCAATGCATACCCTCAAAAGTTACAGTAGAGTGAAGGGGGATGGCCTGGACTCCTGCCTTTCACCACTGTACAGTGTGCCTGAGCAAGGACCACTAGAGGAAGTAACAGGAGGAAAAACAGAGACCTAGAGTGAGAAACAGAGAGAGAGCAGGTCAAAGAGAAAAAGCAGTGAACATTTACAAATCTAAGGACATCGAAAGGCAAAAAGTGAATGAATGAAAAAGATATTCCGGGACTTCCGGTGGCTCAGTGGTTAATAATAGCCTGCCAATGCAGGGGTCATGGGTTTGATCCCTGGTCCGGGAAGATCCCACATGCTGCAGAGCAACTAAGCCCGTGCACCACAACTACTGAGCCTGTGCTCTAGGGCCCGCATGCCGCAACTACTGAGCCTGCATGCTGCAACTACTGAAGCCTGAGCACCTAGAGCCCATACTCCACAACAAGAGAAGCCACCGCAATGAGAAGCCTGAGCACTGCAACGAAGAGTAGCCCCTGCTCGCCACAACTAGAGAAAGCCCGCACAGAGCAACAAAGACCCAACGCAGCCAAAATAAATAAATACATAAATAAATAACCTTAAAAAAAAAAGATATTCCATGTTAAAAAGAGCAGAGGTGACAATCTTATATCAGACAAATTTAATTAAAGAGAAAAACTGACACAAGACACAAAGGGTATTATATAATAATAAAAGATACAAATCACCAAGAAGATATAACAATTATAAATAAGTAAATATATATATATATATATATATATATATACACACATCTAACATTAGACCTCCCCGTGAAATGGAGCAAACATTAACAGAAATAGAGAAAGAAATAGACTAGAGCAAAACGTGAGTAAGAGACTTCAAGACTCTAGTTTTACATACGCATGAAAACGAAAAGGTCAATAAAGAAACAGAAGATTGGACAACACCATAGAACAACTGTACCTAACAGACATGTACAGAACACTCCACCCAACAACAGCAGAAAACACATCCTTCGGGAGCACATGTGAAACATTCTCCAAGACGGAACATACCTTATACCACAAAACAAATCTTAACAAATTTAAGATGATTGAGGTGATAAAAAAAAGATCTTCTCCAAACACAATGAAATTTGGAATTCCCTGTCGGTCCAGTCGTTAGGGCTCCGTGCTTTCACCGCCAAGGGCCCGGGTTCAATCCCTGGTCAGAGAACTAAGAGCCCACCAGCCGAAGTGGCCAAATAAATAAATAAATAAGCACAATGAAATGATACTAGAAATAAAGAGCAGATGGAAAACAGGAAAATCCCCCCAATGTGGAAATTAAGCACCTCATTCTTAGAGAAGCAGTGGGTCAAAGAGGAAATTATAAGGAAATGGGAAAAATATCTGAATAAAAATTAAAACACAGCATACCAAATTTATCACAGGTAACCAAAGCTGTACTAAAATGGAAGTCTACACTGATAAATGCTTACAACAAAAAAAGGGAAAGATGCACACTCTGCACTACTGTTCAAGAAAGTAATAAACTTCCTAGCTAGAGCCATTAGACAAGAAAGAGAATTCTAAGCTACTCAGATTGAAAAAGAAGTAAAATTACCTTTTCTTTTAGGTGACAAGGTTATAGATGTACAAACTAAAAAGGTTCCACAGTAAAACAACTATTTCAAAGAACAACTTCACAAAAGCTGGAGCATAAAACATCAGCATGCAAAACTCAGCTGCATTTCTGTACACAATGAACAATGTCCAAGAAAATTAGAAAACGATTCAATTTACTATAGCATCAAAAGGAACAGAATATTTAGGAAAGCATTAGCGAAGGAGGTGCAAGACTTGTATACTGAAAACTACTAAATGCTGCAAAAAGAAGTCCAAGGAGATACAAATAAATAGAAACGTATCCTGTACTCATGGATTGGAAACCATAATATTCTTAAAATGACCATATTACCCAAAGTGCTCTACAGATGCAATGGACCCCCTATCAAAATTTCAACGGCAATGTTTGCAGTAATAGAAAAAATCATACTAAAATTCATATGGAATCTCAAGGGATCCCAAAGAGCCAAAATACTCTTGAAAAAGAAGATGGAGGCCATCATATTTGGATGTCAAAACACATTACAGAGTAATCAAGATGATGTTGTACTGGCAGAAACACAGACACATAAACCAGTGGAACAGACGAGAATATCAAAAATAAGCCTTTGAATATATATAAAATGTATAGACAAGGGTGCCAAGATTACGAAGGGGAAACTGCAGTCTCAATAACAAATGGTGCAGAGAAACTAGATCTATCAGCAAAAAGATGAAGCTGTAAATCTACCTACAGCAAAGGTAAAAACTTCTGTGTCACAGGATACAACCCAGAGTAAAAAGACAACCTCTGAGGGACTTCCCTGGTGGCACAGTGGTTAAGAATCCACCTGCCAATGCAGGGCACACGGGTTGAAGCCCTGGTCCAGGAAGATACCACATGCCGCGGAGCAAATAAGTAGTTATGTGTGCGCCACAACTACTCAGCCTGCGCTCTAGAGCCTGCGAGCCACAACTACTGAAGCCCGCACACCGAGAGCCCGTGCTCTGCAACAAGAGAAGCCACCGCCATGAGAAGCCCACGCACCGCAACGAAGAGGAGCCCCCGCTCGCCGCAACTAGAGAAAAGCCCACGCACAGCAACAAAGACCCAATGCAGCCAAAAATAAATAAATTTATTAAAAAAAAAAAAGAAAGACAACCTCTGAGGAATGGAGGTAATGAAAGTGATATGAAGAATTTCCAATTGTCAGAGATTTAGGTTGATTTCAAGACTAAATTTGCTAATGGTCTAAAACACCCTCTATCACTGATGTCTGTTTCTGAACTTTCCATTCCATTCACAATCATTAAGATTTGAAGTCAGCGATTCACTCGTTTAGCTTAATTGCCTTAAAAAAGTCTGAACAAATTGCCCACAATTGGTATGATTTCCAGATTTTACCAGGTATTGTGCATATTAGTATCTGACTTCCATGTGCAGCATCTTTACCCTTGTTTACAGAGAGCGGACAGTGCATCCAGATGGGGCCCTAAAAAATCCCGGCTGCCCAATAGCACTAACACCACATCTCTAATCCATGGGTGTGAAGCCCTGCCCAGGACTACACCCAGCGGAGCCTCTTCACAAGTTCCAGGTCACTGGGTCATGGGGAGACGGGATCTAAGTGGAGATGACAGGCCCTGAGGGAAAGAACCGGGTGACAGTGAATGTACAGGTGGCAGGCGGGATACTTCACAGTCAGAGATTAGTGAGTCCAAAGAAGGGCATCTCAGGAAGGACAGACAGAAGAATCAGCTGAGAATACAACTTTACCTGAGAAAGAGCCATTCCAGACTCCTTTTCTTTCCTCTTCCTCCTCTTCCGGGCTTCTTACCCAGGCAGCAATGCTCTTTAGATGTTGACCCTGAAAGTTGGAAACATGCCGTTTAATGCTTAGAATCAACACACCCCCTTCCTGAGTCACCACCACACACACAGGGAAGCCCTCAGCATGGGGAACAGACGGTCCTCTGCTGCCCACTGTCCCAGGAGGGGCTCAGGACAGTAACTCCCACACAGAGACCTACACAGGAGTTTCCCCACCCTTTCTTCAGATCAGGCTCCCCTCCTGGTGAGGCCCTCACGTACCCAGCAGCAGCGGGCACCTCAGCTGGACCCGACGATCCCCTGCAGGTCACAGACCAGCCCTGATCCATCCCCACGCAGAGCAGAGCCCTCACCCTCAGTCCAGATCTCAGCCCTCAGGAATGGGGGGACTCAGAGTCCTGATGTTCAATGATGCATCCAGATTCGAATCACCTGGGGCACCTCAAATATTATTGAGGTTGGACCCCACACTGACAATATTAAGTGAAATCTCTGGTCAAAGGGTACAAAACATGTATATGAAAAATGCCTCAATGATCTAATGGGAGGCCTGTGTTGAGCAACACCCGCAGGAGCCTGGTCCAGCACAGCCCCCACTTTCTTTTTTTTTTCTAGCTTTACTGAGGTATAACTGATGAGTAAGAATGGTGTACATATGAGTCATCGAATGTCGTTATTTTACACATGTAAACACTGTGCAATAATAATCACAATAAGGTAACTTTCAATTCCATCAACTCACAGTAATCTTTGTATCTGTGTGCTGAGAACACTTAAGTATTACTCTCTGGAAATTCCAAGTATATAATAACACAGTGGATTCACTATAGTCAGCATGCTGTACATAAGATGTATATGTTGTACACATTTACAACTGAATGTTGTATCCTTCGACCAACATCTCCCCAGTTACCACACTACCCAAACCCTTGTAAGAACCTTTATACTCTACGGCTCTATAAGTCTGATATTTCTACTTTCCAAAAAACTGTCTGTCTTTTTCTGTCATAATAATGTCATAATTTATGGATGACATAAATTTTCTACATCCATTCACTTGTCAACAAACATTTGGTTCTTTCAACATCTTGCCTGCTGTGAATAATGCAGTAATGGTCAATGGAGGGCAAATATTTCCCTCACTATAATGATTTTGTTTCCTTTGGATAACTAGCCAGAGGAAGGTGTCATACACTGTTTGCCTATTCTATGTTTGTTTGTTTTTTTTTGCGGTACGCGCGGGCCTCTCACTGTTGTGGCCTCTCCCGTTGCGGAGCACAAGCTCCAGACGCACAGGCTCAGTGGCCATGGCTCATGGGCCCAGCCACTCTGCGGCATGTGGGATCTTCCCGGACCGGGTCACGAACCCGTGTCCCCTGCAACGGCAGGCGGACTCTCAACCACTGTGCCACCAGGGAAACCCCTGGTGTTAAAGTTTTGAAAAATTGAGACTATAATGTTAGAAAAGAATGATATAAGTTGATTGTAGGAGACCAAAAATTATTCCAGAAAGAAATACTTATTTATAGGAAAGGAGAAATTGAACGAACTAAGATTTATTCCAACTTACAAAACAAATTATACAGAATAGAGAAAGAAAAACTAAATGCATTACACACACAAAAAAAAATACTTTAAATAAATGTTCCTCTAAAAAGGCACCATGTAGTGACAGAGTCAGTCATTTCTTGCCCCAGGTGTCCTCTCCCCTGACCCCTACTCCATGCCAGGAAAAGGGAAGGGCGTGACCCACAACTAAGTGAATCAAGTCACTGTCCCCCTGGCTGAATAGGGATTGCAAATGGAAGTTATCTTCTCATATAAATAATTACAAAATGCATAAGCCTGTAGACTGCAGCTTTGCAATTCTCATCCTCATTTGTATAATTTAAACAAATTTTAAATGTACTATATTCTAAAACCACAAATCATATATCACGACTTAATCATCCACATCCAAACAGCTCACCATCCAACTGCATCCAGCTCCTACCACCTACCTGCACTACTATGTGTCACCATCTCATTCCGTTTATCTGTCTCCCTAGTTTTCTCCGTCTACGTCTTTTTGCTCCGCTCCGCTCTCCTGCTGTTCCTGCCCTCTTCTCTATTTCCTCCCTCACACCTGGCCTGCCCCACTCTGCAACCTGTTGCCCCTTGTTCCTCTTTCTCCGCCACCTCCGCTCCCTGTCTACCCTCTGGGTTACACCTCTTCCGGTCCCCTTCCATTCCGTTCCTCCCCACTCGCCGGCACTTCAGTTGGCGACGCTTCCTTCCTGCTCTGTCCTCCTCTGCTCTTCGTGTCCCCCTTTGTCCTCTTCCTCTCCCAGCACCTGTTGCTCTGAGAGCCTTCGTTCCACCTTTTATCCTCTCCCGGACTCACTGTGTGCAGGGCCTCACCACTGCTGCCCTCGCTCCTACCAGGCCGCTCGCCATGCTGCCCACCCGGAGATCCGGCTTTTTAAATTTACTTCTCTATTTTATTGGCCCGCTAGTTTCAAGGCTAAATCTATTTCATTTCACTATCTCTTTGCAAGTCCCTCAGCCACCGTCTAAGTTCCCATTGGTTCTCCCTCATTCTTTTCTGCTTCTCAGTTTTTCTATCCCTCTCTCGATCGCTCTGTCTCTGCTTCTCCTGATCCCCCTTCGCCCCCATATTTAGAAAGATGGCGAGTGAATAAGATGCCCGCCTACCGCAAGAGACCATTTTCCACCGAGTTGAACTTGGCACGGAAGAACCATGGGTGTCCACAAGGCTGGCGCAGGTCACGTCCCCCTATGCGGGGTGAGGGGAAGGGCTGACCAAGAAAGAAGCCTGTGGAGCAGAAGGACCGGCCTGAGGAGACGCGAGGACAGAGGCGCTGGGAGGGAGGGAGGGGGTCTCAGGAGAGGGACGGGCTCTGAAGAACCCCAGGACCGGGGTGAGAACGCGGCCTGTCCGGGAGCGGGGCGACCGGCGCTGCCCTCCAGGGGCCGAGAGGGCGAGGCTGGGGGTGGGGTGAAGGGCGAATCCACCTCGCGGTCAAGGACTTTACAAGGGGAGGCCGAGACAGTTAACAGGTTTTAAGCAGCGAAGTGTTGCGAAAGGTGGTGTCTACCTGGACGGAAGGTGTTAAAAACGAAGGGCAAGGGCCATCCTCAGAGAAATCTCTAACCCGAAGAGAAAAGATCCCCGAAAAGATTCAGACCGGCTAGATCTGAATTTACCTGGGATAAATTCAGGGGCGGGTGTGGGGATTTTAGGTCCGTAGTCATTCACAAGACCCTGAGGAGGTAGTAAGAGAGGCCCGCTGCGAAACTTTTCAACAAAAAGGAGAAGCTCAGTCTCTGTCGAACATCTTCACGCCCCACTCTCTACTTCCAGGTCCTATGGAAACTACTAGCGCCCGATTAGAAGCAGGGCTTCCGGGGGGCGGGGCCTGGGCAGAGCGCTTCCGGCGAGGGGCGGGGCGAGGAGAGTGCCCAGGTCGGCCGCAGGGAGAGGGAGAAGGAGGGGCAGGGGGCGGGCACTGTAAGGTGCTTCCCAGTCAGCTCATGTGCTTCCTTTAAGTTACTGTCGGTAACAGTGTTTTTTGTTTTATTTTGCTTTGATAGGTAAGAAGTGGATTTATTTAGAGAGAAACATACTCCACAGACAGAAGGTGGGCCATCTCAAAATGGGAGAGGACTTGCAGTGGTTGAGAGTCCGCCTGCCGGTGCAGGGAACGCGGGTTCGTGCCCCGGTCCGGGAAGATCCCACATGCCGCGGAGCGGCTGGGCCTGTGAGCCATGGCCGCTGAGCCTGTGCGTCCGGAGCTTATGCTCCGCGACGGGAGAGGCCACAACAGTGAGAGGCCCGCGTACCGCAAAAAAAAAAAAAAAATTGGATTCGTGACTTAGCCTTATAATCAGATCCTCCTCTATTGTTCTGTGTTTAATGAAATGTTCCACCACTGACTCATTTCCCTGATTGGAATCGTGGAAGTCCACACTGAAACGTCTTTTTTGCCAACATGGCTAGTTTGAAATTTTCCATAATACAGACTAATCTTTCTAATAAACATCCCAAAATTTATTCCGGTCACTGAAACTTTTAAAAAATGTTATGTTTTCATATGTATGCTACACCAGGACATTCTGCTCATTTTGACTGAAAATATTTTAAATGCTAATATCCCTATGTAAACATCATGTTTCAATTGATTGCCATTTCCCTATGGATGAAATCTTCCACCTGTAGGGAAGTAGGAAAACATACTTTGTAGTAAATGTTTAATGACAGATATTGCCATAAAAATATTGAGGTAGAAATGAAGTTATTGCATAGTTGATAATCTCGTTTTACTTTCTTTAGGGTTCATATTAAAGAGAATATACCTCCCCACTAAATGTCCTTAGAAACATGGCAAAGTTAATTATTCCTTAGATGAGAATAAATCCCAATGTCTTCTGAATACTATATATTTTACAGGCTCGTAAGAGAACTTTCAGCAATAGAACACAAACAGCTAAAATACATTACAGTTTAAAAATCAAAGGTAAATTTCTAATTACTCTCATAATGAACATACAGTGAATTTGAAATTGCATTATATTTAGTTATTATTGACTTAAGTATATTATGATGTAAACAAGTTTTTCTCAAAGCTATTTGAAGGTAATTCAGCACAAGTGTGGAATAGGATAAGCGTTTTGCAAAATAAGGCAGCTCTCATCAAAAGAAAAAAAATTTTTCTTATTGCCCTTCCTCCTTTTATTTTATCTATATGAAATGATGGATGCTAATTAAACATATTGTGGTAATCATTTCACAATACAGGGAAGTCAGACTATTTTGCTTTACACCTTAAACATATAGTGATATATGTAATTGTATAAAGAGTTGTTTATACAACTCACTTCGTAAAGACTTGGTTTTAAAATGGCAAATAGTTAAAACACGTTAGCAAAAAGAAAGAACAATACAATTTTTAAAATAATTT